TACAGTTTATACTTAAATCTATCTATCTTTATATATATAATTCTTCTGTGAGTGTGTATGTCACTGAACTTCTCTCAAACGACTGGACCGATTTTGATGAAATTTTTTGTGTGTGTTCAAGGGGATCTGGGAATGGTTTAGATTCACAATTTGAATAATAATTTTCATCAAAAAAATTATTAAAAAGAGTTTGAAATTTTCAAATTAAAGACGTGTAGACAGGACAACGTCTGTCGGGTCTGCTAGTAAACATATAATAAAATTTTAACTGATACATTAAATATTTTTTTGGAAAATCTTATTGAAATAGGCATTATTATCGATACAGATGCCGAATCTATAGTTTTAAGGATTTTTGTTTGTCTGTCTGGGAAAAACACGTCATGGAAAAATCACTGGACAGATTTTAATGAAATTTGGTATGGTGATAGCTGGTGCTGGTGGGTTATCCGGATCGATATATAGGATACTTTTTACCGCGGGAAAATATCTTTGGTATTTTTTTTTGTTATCTTCGGTAACAGACAGACAGACAAAAATCGGCCTCTGTATCGATAATAATTTTGTTTAGTTCAATAAGATTTTCCAAAAAATATTTAATGTACAAATTCGGCTTTAGTTACAATTTTATTATATGTATAGATATTTATAATTTATAGTGCGGTTTATTTTTATTTTTTTTAAATGCTCCGTTTAATTGTTTATGCATGTCGTGGTTACCTATAAGTATGATAACAGTTGGATTTAGACCTCCTTTGTACAATTGTGTATTTTGTTAAGTTACTGTATATCATGTTGGTGATCCTAATTAAATAAATAAAATAAATGTATAGACTAGCGACTCACCCCTAACTTGTTTCCCAATACAAACTTTCATCCCCATTTTCACCCCATTAAGGGATATTTTCGGGATAAAAAGTATCCTATGTCCTTTCCAGGGTCTCAAACTATCTCCTTACCAAATTTCACCTAAATCGGTTCAGGAGATCCAGAGATTCACAAACTTTACCTCTTTATTAGTATAGATGTGAGGAAACTTTTATACTAGAAAAAGCTGACAAAACATTCGGTGCTAGTGGTGGTCCTATGAAGTGGTAGCTCGGGGACGTCAGTTACGTTACGTTACACCTGCGGGGAAAAACATTGCAATTTAGTATTGTAGCAATTTTAAGTCCTGTCAATTATATATTGAACTAGCATTGCCCGCGGCTCCGCCCGCGTTCAGATGACCAAAAACTAAATTCTTAGGTGTTACATATTAGTATACTCTTACATTGCAGTTTTTGTATTTTTCCTCAGAAATAAGATATTTTCCCGCGGTAAAAAGTATCCTAGGATCGCGCGCTACATCGCCCGGTTTATATAGCTTGAGCAGGCGGTCGAGCGATGCGGGGCAGAGGGGATGGACTCGCCGTAGGCATCTCAATGCTCGCCAAGCATTAAAAATGTTTCGCTACTAATTACTTCTAACAACGATATCTCAAAAACTATTCATCTGATTGATTTAGTGTAAAGAGCAATTTTAATCTGCATTAAATGACTAAGCTAACTAAAATATTCATTTGGATAAGGATTAATACCGAACTAAAGAAAATAACTTTGAAAATAACGTAATGTTTTTAATTAAAAATGTTAACATAAAAGTGGTTATTGTAAGTCAACCGTAAGAGATAGAGATATGCTATCGCGGACTTTTTTGTAGCATTTTTATAGATTTTGAATTCTCTAGTACATTACTTAACTGTATCTTTGCTAGTTTACGCGGCGTTCGCGTGGAAAGTTCCCATTTGGCGAGATTTTTTGCGACCTCTTCAACATTTGTCGCCGTATTTCAGCTAATTTACATAAAAGCATAATAAATTATATACCTAAACCTTCCTCAAGAATTACTCTTTCTATTGTTGAAAACCGTATAAAAATCCGTTCAGTAGTTTTCGAGTTTATCGCGTACAGACAGACAGGAGGACAGAAAGACGCGGCCGGGGGACTTATTTTTATAATAAGTATAGATAAGATTCCCAAGGATGGTTGATGTCAGGCAGGCGGCCGGTCGTAAAACTTTTTCCAAATTCTACCAGCAGTACGAAAGATGTACTACGCCGACCCCAAGTGATTGGGAAATGGCCAGGAAGATGACGATGATGTCATGTAAAATAAATTAACTTTTATTTTCAAATTGAGGTGTAGAGAGATGGATGTGAGATACAACTCGTACAAAATATGAGATGAGTAGGTAGATCCTAGAAGTGTCATCTGAAGAAAATTTTTATTTACATTTTTTATTACATAAATATGTACATACATATAAAATGATATAAATATAACAAAAAAGTTTCCAAAAGCTTTATAAATTACTAATAATATTGAAGTACATTGACTGCTAGATATTTGATAATTTTAAGTAAACAACGTATAAAAAAGAAATTATTTTTGTATATCTGGTACTTAAAATGTTATATCACATTTGGGTCCAAAAAACAAAAAGAAAAACTAAAAATAGTAATTCTAATAAAGTAGAACAATATTATATTTATATGATTATATTTACTCAACATTACGCAGCATCTAGACTTTATCGGTCTTTTGTTTATAGATGCTGTTGTGGAAAGATACTCGTAATGTCATATGATAACTGACCCCCTGCGGCTCAGCGGTACATACATGTGATGACGACACATCACTATGAATTGCGAACTATTTACAATTTGTTTCATTCTACTACTTTTAATCCAAACTTTGTTTTAAAAATGGGAAATCCTAATCGCTAAAACAATTTTGATAAATTTTGGTATAGATATATAGATGGGAGCTTGGACAAGGACATACGCGAAAATAAAATTTGAAGGTTAAATAGGGCATGAAAGTTTGTATAAGTAACCAATCTTTTCTAAAGTTAGGGATATAAAAGCTATATTTATTGTGCTCTTGTTAAGCAATAGGGAGTGTTTTAACGTTTTTGAAAAATCATCCTCCAAGGCGGTACAATGGGAGATGATTTCAATGATTTTTTTCTGTGTTGACCGCACCGCCCGTTTTTACTGCTAGAGACATAAACATAAGTAATTCTGGTATATTATATTTTTAGAAAATACATAGATACATTTTTTAATAAAGTCATTACGTAAAATGAGTGTGGGTCGTCACTCGTCATATTATAAATGTAAAAGACACCTATAGCTGCACCCGAGCGAAGCAAGGGCAAGCCACCAGTAATATGTATTATGTATAAATTTTATATATACAACAATCCTTAATTCAGTTATATTTTTTGTGCGTGTATGTCACGCGATATCTTCGCCAATTGTCAATCGAATTTCATAATTCTGTTTTTATCTTTGTTAATGTTTAAATAACAGCTGACGTCATTCGAGAATGTATCTGTAAATACCAATGTATTTACAGATACATTCTCGAATATAATTCTCTCTAATTTATAAAGAAATTATTCGATACGAAGTATCGATTAAAACAGTATTTTATTTTAAATAGCATATATGCTATAATATATTATCCATTAGGTGAAGATTACAAGTAAAGAACGATTGGAAGTCTATAGCCTATACTGTAAGATTTTTTTTGTAATTCGACAGCTGAATTCGTGAAAATACTTCATATATTCCTAGTCGCATTAAGTGTAATCGCGAATTCAGCTATCGTATTACATAAAACTTCTTAGTTCTTACAGAAAAGTACTACTAGAGCTTTTGTACTTTTTGTAAGTTAGGATAGTTTGCCAGTTATCGCTGTGATAATAGACATACTGCACTAGTGTCTAAGTATAAATATTAATATATTCATGATTGAGACAATCGAGCGTAATTTGTGAAGGTCCATAATGCTAAATTACATATGCAAGATAACATTTAAAATTGTATAAAAATATAAAAACGACAATAACTTGGCAACATCAAGACCTTAGTTAGATAAATAACTTTGACGTCAGTATGACTAAATTTATTAGGAGTTTGTATAATTTATGTTATGATGACCTCAAAATTGTAATGACGGCGTTAAATGTCTAACGACGGTTTATGGCCTAGTTATACTTTGGTCCAAACGTCACAAAAATAAGAAATGTTATTTTAGCTTATCAGTTATCAGCAATAAATTTGTACATATTTACTGTAAATATAATTGCGGGCTGAAGTCAGATCTTGATTAGTTCTTTTGAATCTGTGACAGATTGTAAACACTAGCAACAGTAATATTTATACGGTCGGTTAAATTATGATTTCTGGGATATTGTCGGTGATTCAACTAGAATTTCTTTAGCGTTAGTCCTTTCAGTAGAGAATCTGTATCTCAATTATTTTTATGCCAATGTATTTTAATACATCAGTTTGTGTTTTATAATATTGTGATATCGCTACGAATTGGTAGCCCAGTGTAACACACTCCTTTGGAAAACAAATTGCAGCGGCTTATCCCTCTCGTGCCTTAGATTTTCATGTGTGTATTATTTTCAACATAATTAAACCACTTGCTCGTTATACTATGAGCTACGAGTATCTCAGTGGTGTGACTAGCATTTACGACTGCCCATCCGAAGTTCCTGGGTTCGAGTCCCAGATCGGGCCAAGTTTAGTTATTCAGTCTTTCTGTTACGAAAGTCCCACTGTAGTCCGCAGTTAGGAACTTGGTGGTGATTTACCCCAGTGGCTCGGAGAGCACGTAAAGCCGTCAGTCCTGCGCTTGACCTTTCACCGGGCGTGTCGAATTATCGTCCCATTGGAATTAACAGGGATAATAGTGCACTTGTGTCTCCGCGTACACAAGTGCACTATAATATCTCCTGCGCAGTTGGCTATTCTCAGTTAGAATGGCCTCCATGGCCGAAATCGGAGGACATAATTATAATTTTACCTAATACCGTGAAGAAAAACTAAACTACGCAAGTCAGAAAAAATAATTTTCGAAAGATATGTGACATCCTTAGAGTGAAGTGTTGTTTTATTAATCTAAATCTAATCTTTTATTTTATTTTTATTTTTAGGACAAACATGGAAGGTCCCGCCGGACCATCACCATGTTGTATGGGAAATAGTGCGAAATCTATGGAAAGGCTTAGTGTGGAAAATAATTGTGAATGTGACAGAACACAGAATGAAGTCAAAATAAAGAGTAAGAGGTACGGCAGAGGCGCCGTTGAATCTGGTGCGTATAATATTTTTTATGTATTCGTATTCAGCCCCTTTTCAACGTCCCACTGCTGGGCACGGGCCTTCCTTCAATACGAGGGGGATCAGGCCATAGTCCATCACGCTGGCCAAGTGCGGCTTGGCGGACTTTAAATGTCTTTCGAACACTTGCCAGATTCTCTCAGACATGTAGCTTTCCTCACGATGTTTCTCCTTCACCGTAAGGCAAGTGGTAATCATGTCAGAAATTATTCGCACATGAAAATCAGAGGCGCGAGATCCGGGATTTGAACCCACTGCACTCGGTTTTCCAAGCGAGCGCGTTACTACGGGGCTACCCACTGCCTATTATATATATTTTAACTTAATTTTAACTTCATTAATTGAAGTTCAATTTAAGAAATACATAATAGTGGCTCACCGTCGCTTCGCTCGGGTTCGCCCCTAGAAAAACAAAATCAAATCTATTCCACGGGAACCGTACATTTTTCCGGGATCAAAAATATTCCAGACTGTAATATCTCTGTGCCAAATTTCTTCCAGATCCGTTCAGCCGCTAAACTTTTACATTTATAACACTAGTAAGATGTAAGTTTTCCTAATTGCGCCCTGCAAATATGAAAGAAAGTATTAAGTTTTATTTGACGTTATGAATAATCTATACAAATAAATGGAGAGCCAATTTTTTGTTCGGTTATACTGCGATAACTACTGAACCGTTTGGAATAATACTCATACCATAAGATGCAGCGTGTTTCAGAGGTTTTAGTATATGGTATATTGGTGATTAATGTATTATGCGGGCGGAGCCGCAGGAAAACGCTAGTATCTGAATAATAATAATATTGTTTATAATTAAAACTGGTCATTTTGGATGTAATAAAAGCTAAAATAACTGTCTAAAGAGATTTTGTTTGAGGTTTAAATGACAACTGTTCCATAGCAGCAGTTATGCTGGTGACGTGCTCGGAGCGGACTCGAATTTGGCTCCCGCATCACTTGAGTTTTTCACAAGGGAGTCATTTTCAACATGATTACTATTTGCTTAAAGGGCAAAAGAAAACATCGTGACAAGACTATATGACTAAGAATACCTAACTAGTTTTGGAAAGCCATGTGAAATCAGCATTTGGCCACCGTGATAAATTTATAGGTTTCATCATCCTCGCATTAAGGGAGATCAGTGGAATACAAAAAGGGCTACTTGATAAAGGCTGGAAAACTATTACGTTTTATATAAATCACAAAAAAAAAAGAATAATAGGCTTACAGTTAAAGCTCCAAGTCAATTTTTTTGCACTTCAATAGAAATTGCCAATTAGTGATGGTATATATAGTATGCATTTTGCTGAGGTTTTACTTAGTTCAAACGCAAACACACTCGCAGCCTTAGACTGTAGTTACCATTAAAATAAAACAATCTAAAAGCATCGTCATCATCTCCCTGCCCATTTCCCAAATTACTTGGGGTCGGCGCAGTACGTCCAAACTGCTAATTGGTTATAGCAAAAGTTTTCCGATCGGTCGCCTGCCTGACGTCAAACCTCTTTGGGATGCTGTTGTTCGCCCGCCATCGAGCAAGAGATTCAAGGTGCAATGTCCCTAGATCCTTTAGTCGTCTTCTATGACACCCACAGGAGGTGATGGGGTAGCACTATTCTAGGCCGAGCGCTACACGGCTAATCTAAAAGCATCTAAAGTTGGTTAAAATCTTCTAATATAAGAGATATTTGAATATTTTGAGAAGGACAAAAACAGATAGAAGGCTAAATTTAATAAAATTGTTTTAAATAATAAATTAAGTTTAAATTAAAATAAGTTATTTTAAATAATTATCCCTATATCAATTAATGTTTTTGTTTTCTCAAAAATCTATTTTAAAATCTAGCTAAGTACTGTGTAAAATAAAACAGCTATTAAATAATACGTACAAAACTAAGCCTAACTTAACGTTGCTTATCTCAGCGATTGCTGAATTCAAAGAGATAGAAGCAGATGTTTGTTATCTTTGAAACGCTTTACTTATCAAAAACTTGGCGGTTATTTAGGTTTTCATACTGACCTCTGAATATTTCATCACGTTGGCAATAAAACATATTAATAATATATTTCTATTCGCATTATTTGTAATTTACTTCATTAGTTTGACAAAGCTATGAATAAATTATTATTACAATCAACCAACCGTTATATATTAATAAAAATATGTTTTATAGTACAATAACGAAGTAGAGCGAGGAAGGCAGTCACCGCCGCGAGGCAATGTAGGTTTTGTTGAATGATAAAACGCATAATATTATGGATCTTACATGATTTTTCCAAAAATTGGCGCAAAAGGTGGACTAGAATGTTTTGATACAGATCTTGTAACTTATCCTAAATAGTAATTGCTTTAATCCGGCTTGAAGGACCAAAAATAAAATATTGTACATTTTATATAATTGATTATATAGGTATTAAGATTGTATTTGGCAGTTATTTAACGTTTTATTTGTTTTTTTTTCTTTCAAATAATACAAAATCTAAGAGCTACGAGTAATATGATAAAGTTTGAAAGTAATCAGAGTATTTCTAGTGTAGGGTAATAAGTAAGTTTAATCAACAGGTAATAAAAGAATATTTCCATTTTAAACATACAGTATGTTTTGGGAATGTTGGTTAGATTTTAATAATATGATTTGTTTAAAGATTTTTTTTTATCATTTACTTTAATACTTTTTCAGGGTTAACACACGAGTGCGGCGTCTTTGGAGCTATTGGGACGGGAGAATGGCCGACACAAGTAGACGTAGGCCAAGTTATATGCCTTGGACTGGTCGCACTGCAACACAGGTACATGACATGGCATGGCAATACTTTCGATTTCTTACATCTTTCCGTTACTTGGGGGAGTTTTAATCAATCAAATCAAATGAATTTTTAATAGCTTCTAAAATATATTTTTTTTAAATCGAAATTCTTTGTAACGTTTTTTTTTAATTTCACAACGAACCTTTCTGATTGCTTTAATTCAATTATTTTCTATATGTACATATATCTTTAAACACGTTTTAGCTTATCGTAGGTCATGGTCCAGGTTATCGATTAAATAAGCGTCTTAAATGACACTGTTTTATTGCACAGGGGATAGTAGTATTAGTTATATTATTGCTTATTAATTTTTTTTAGTAAATTAATATAGTCTAAAAGGCAGTGGTAGCGCAGTGGTAATGCGCTCGCTTGGGAAATCGAGTGAAGCGGGTTCAAATCCCGTGTCTCTCACTTCTGATATTTTCATGTGTGAATTATTTCCAACATGCTTACCATTTGTGTTACGGTAAGGAAAACCTGCATGTCCGAGTGAACCTAGCTAGTTAACGAACGACATGCACAGTCCGCCAACCCGCACTTGACCAGCGTGGTGCACTATGGCCTGATCCCCCTCGTATTAAAGGGAAACCCGTACCCAGAAGTGGGATGTTAAAAAGGGCTAAATACAAAAGTCTAAGAGATGGTCTTGAAAATTGGCTTTATTGAGATTAAAATATTTAATGATTACTTAGACAGTAGAGTGAGAAAGCGTGCAGTCTGTGATCATATAATAGATATTATGGTCTAAAATGAATGCTTAAGATTGGTCCAAAATCTATGTCCCAGATTAAATCTTTGTAATGATTGTCTTGTGTTGTGACAGAGCGAGGCGATTGTTCCTTATTTTTTATTTTGATGGAATAAAACTGTCTAATAATTAATTTTCCTGTCATTTTTGTTTAGAGATTGATTAAACTGTCCCTTTTTATTTTTTCACTAAAGGGATAAAAAGTAACCTATTTAGTACTTTTTAGTTTTTAATTTACTCTCTTCTTCAGTAGCGAATTCCAATTGGTTCTCGTTCTGAAGATCAGCAAGGAAAAATATACACACTCATTTTTTTACATTATTTTTGTTTAAACATTGACATAATACTCTTTAGGATTTACGCGAATACTTGTCGATTCTTTCATAGAATTATTTTTTTCATTGACGTCGTAAAAAAAATGCAAAAAACTATATGAAATTAATATTTTCTAGTTATTTTGAAAGTCGATTCAATTGTGACTTAAAATAAATCGATTGCCTAATATAATAAACAATATAAACGATCTAGCAACTAGAATAGGTATTTTATCATGTCAAGGGCGGTTATATTTCATCTCAGATAATGATGCCATTACTTGAACCGGACCTTGATAACTTGACTGGTATTTTTGATAATTATGAACACATTTAAACCAGCTATACGATTTGCTAAAATTTTCTAAATTTCATCTTATATAATAAGAAAAAAGAAAAACAAATCGAATTGAGAACCTCCGCCTTTTTGAAGTCGGTTAAAAAAGATATAATTTGCTTTCGTATGTATTGAGTATTTTGTTTTAAATAAAATAGCCATCATAAATAATATAGTAATATAATGACATAATATAATAATAATATTTATGTCAAATAAAGGTAGGTCTTAGGTTTTATTGTGTGTATGTGTATTTTTTCCTTCGACTCATCAAAGCGTCGAAACAAAAAAAAACAAAAATACAACAATAATATATGTAATATAATTGAAATGTGACAATATTCCTTTTTTTAATAATTAGTTATTATATATATATATAGCAAATTATTAATAAATATTTAATTACCAATTTTTTTTTATTTCAGAGGGCAAGAATCAGCGGGTATAGTGACGTCAGAGGGCAAGAGTTCACGCACGTTCAACACACACAAGGGCATGGGCCTTATCAATAATATATTTAATGACGAAGCAATGAAAAAGTTGAAAGGCAACCTTGGAATCGGTCACACTAGGTTAGATTTATTGCTATTTAGAAATTTTAAAAAAATACATCTTCTTAGGCTTGTCAATATGTATTCAATTTATTGTTATGAAAAAAAAATATAGCGTAAAAATATAAAAAAACGCCCACATTTACTTCCGATATAAGAGAGAGATCTTGTCACTACAGAAATATGTATATCAAGACTATTTGTGTGTTTGTCCGCCATAAAAGCGATATATGAAGTATTGTTTGTTAAGTACAATTATTAAAGATAATAAAAGCAAGTTGGTAATTAATTTTACAAAAGTTAAACTGATTTAAAATAACGCAATGATAACTTTTTGATGTGCACAAAATCAGTCTAAAATCCAAATCCAAACATATTGCGTGTACAAAATTTCCCCGAAACATTCTTTTATATTTTACTATGTACTGAAATCTTATAAATATAATATCTGTCAATAAATGACTGAGAAATTAATTGCTTAAGTATTTTAATGCAAAACGACTGCGGAGTCTCACTCGAGTGTGACGTCATTTTAACTAACAGATCGTCAGTCGCACCACAAAATATCATTCAATTGCTCAATTGTTTGCTAATCTTGTTTTTTATTTATTGTTAGTGTTATTTTTAATTTTTTCGGTCGGTCATGTCGTGTGACGTCACGGAATTATTCTTGCAAGCGCAACTTTAAAGCTTCATAATTTTTACATTTGTTGAGATATTTTAATAATTCTTTCTTATTTTTTGTTATATTTGACTTCTACTTTTATAATTAATTCATCCAAATTTGTTTGTCAGATACTCGACGTCGGCCGCGTCCGAGGAGGTGAACTGCCAGCCGTTCGTGGTGCATACAGCACACGGCGAGCTCGCCGTCGCGCACAACGGGGAGCTCATCAACTGTAGCAGCCTACGCAAAATGGTTGGTGCTATTTACTATAATAGTTTTATATTCACTTAGATAATACTTTCTTAGATTTACGCTAACATTTGACATTTTAAATAAAACTATTTTGTCGCGGATTTATTTTGATTTTTGGTTTCCGACGGTGAATTATTTTATTGTTTATATATATGTATGTAAAAATAAATGTATGTACGTATGTTTCCCATGAACTCCAAAACGGCTGAATTAGCCCAGCAGTGATCCTGTGAAGTTTGGTAGCGATAAGATGTTTGAAGGCGGGCGAAGCCACGAGTATTGCTAGTATGTAATACTAATCGTTTTATATCAAAACAACATGGTCATGCTGGCACCCTAAAATAGCTAAGAATAGAATAACATATAAAAAATATACTGCGATGGAGAAAAAAAAACGAAAGCAATATTACGATTGTGATCCGACCTTTGATCTTTTAACCTTCAAATATATTAATATCTTTTTGTATAAATTCCCATATAAATTGTAGCTGCTTTTGGAAAAACTAAATCTCCTAAATAATTCATCAGGTACTTGGGCGTGGAGTAGGATTATCGACTCACTCAGATTCCGAGCTCATCACACAAGCTCTCTGCTTGAACCCTCCGGAGGGAGAGAACAATGGCCCGGACTGGCCCGCCAGAATCAACAATCTTATGAGGTTACTATTGAAATTTATATATATAGTAGCGACTCGCCCTCGCTCTCGGGTTTGTCGCTAGTTACGTTTTAACGTTTAGTTTAGATTTCTCAGAGGTGATATATTTTCCTGCAGTAAAAATTATCGTATATGTTGAGTCTTACTACTAGCTAATTGGTAAAATGCTTTAAATGACCTCACTAAACATTTTTTATATGAAAAATTAAACTAATCTTAATTGACAAAAAATACAGTGAAATTACAAATATACTCAATCATTTATAAAAAAAAAACAAATACGCTTACTAATTCGTAAACAAGTCATATCTGGTATTGAAAGAGACAAACAACGTGTTTCGTAATTTGTTTTTTTTTAATATTTTTTAATTTAATTATCCTACAATATTAAGGTAGTGGTAGTGCAGTAACGCGCTCATTTGGGAAACCAAGTGAGACGGGTTCAAACCCGGATCTCGCACCTCTGATATTTTCATGTGCGAATCGTTTCCAACAAGATTACCACTTGCTTTGACGGTGAAGAAAAAGATCGTGAGGAAACCTGTCTGAGAGAACCTCGCAAGTTCTCGAAAGACATGTGAAGTCCGCCAACACGCACTTGGCCAGCGTGGTGGACTATGGCCTGATCCCCCTCGTATTGAAGGGAGGTCCACGCCCAGCAGTGGGACGTTACAAAGGGCTGAATACAATATAATTAATAATATTTGGTTTCAGGCTGGCTCCTCTAAGTTACTCTTTAGTAATAATGCTTAAAGACAAGATATATGCTGTGCGGGACCCGTACGGCAACCGCCCGCTGTGCCTCGGCAAGATACTGCCTTTGGGGTCTTCATGTATGTCTTAATATTATTTTTCATACATATTTGTCATTGAATGTTGGTTCTAATTCATCGTTTTTGGGCATATGCAAAATTTAGTTATAAGAAGGATGTTCTAATCAGGGTTCGGAAATCCGTTCAATTTTTACGGTTTCATGACCCCAAACCGAAAGACTTTTCGGTTTAAGGTTTCGTTTAGGTTCTTTGACCGGTTAAAACACGGAAAATGATTTTTGATGAATTTTGGTTCGTTCATCGAAATTAACTGGATAAAATGAGTTTTTTTGCGTTTACATTTGGCGAATCTTTGCCAATAGTGAATTGTTTAGTGGAAGGATACATGTACGTTTCTTAGTCATCAATGAATTAACCCGTTTATATCGGTATCAGAACCTAAATCTAACCCTTCTCTAAGAATAATCGAAATAACAATTATTATTTCGGTTTTCTGAACCGTTTGTTTTTATTAAGCGGTTAATGAACGAGCGTTGAATTTACCATTACATTACTAAAATTAACCGTTTTTTAACCGTTTCCAAGCCCTGGTTTTAATATACCTATACATCAGATAAATATAGTGCTATTTATTTACTAAGTTATCGGTTATATGTACGACTAGCTCACCCTGGCATCGCTTGGGTTCGTCCCTAAGTACGTTTTAATTTTTTTGAGCGGAACTCTAATTCTTATTCTAAAATAAAGTAGCCTAAGCTACTCCTTATAATATCAGCTACGAGTATCTTCCAGTGAAAGTTCAGTCAAAATCGGTCCAGACGTTTCAGAGATTAGCCGGACTAAACAGACAGACAAACAGACAGAGACGAAAATTTTAAAAATTGTGTTATTCTTATAAGTAGGTACCCTATATAATTCTATATTCATTTAGTAAAAAGTTGTTATTTTGGCATTACAAACAGACACTTCAATTTTATTTACCTGTATAGATCAAACAGATGTTTTGCAATATATAAATTTCTTCCAGCTTAAAAAATGTCATGTATTGTATATTTTAATAACTTATATCACTTTGAAATAATTCGTTTTTGATCTAAGTTGCCCAGATTGTGAAGATAACAAGTCTTATATATTTGTACTGCTAAAACACTATTACATATGAAAAAACGAATTTACTGCTAATATTGTTATATAGTCATATTTTTCATACATGTGTGGAATAGCAAAAAAATCTAACCTCTTATATATTGTTAAGGTCAAAAATGTATATTGTAAGTGTGCTTATGAAATAAATAAATAAAACAAAATAAATATTCTGAAATATGAAACTTTGGATTCATAATCTTATTGTCATTGAGATCGCACATTCAATTTATATGGAAGGGTTGAACTTGTGACCTAACCAAAGACTGCACCAAATGGAAGTCATAAGGGTCTATTCACACGATGACGTTTTAACGCGCTGTCGACGCGCGCTTATCACGCTTGGAAAAGATAAAAATTCAAGTAATCTTATAAGCGTTTTTTAAATTTGATTGCCATAAAGTATACGATGACGTACCATTATGACATGCGCGTGCACGCGCGTTTTAAAACGTTGTGTGCATAGACCCTAATATTATAATTAATGTTACCATTGAACGTACTCTTACAGATGTCTACAAATCATCATCATCGAAGCATGCGGCGGGTAATGCATGACACATTTTTTTCATATTTTTTCATTTAAGTAAATAATTTCTAACAATTAAGGGTTCAAATAAAAAGATATCATTTTTAAAATCATTCATTTGAATCAGGAGTTTTCAACTAGGGAGTGTGCCCTACTAGTGGGCGTAGAGAGAGTTTAATTTATATAATTTAAAACAAACATAAAAATAAATCGTTAAAATAATGTGCGTTTTATTATAATAAAAAAAAACAAAGTAATGAATTGTCAAAGGAAAGGTTGGGAAACCCTGATTTAAATTCATTTTGTTACTTAAACGATTTGAATTTTCACTAAACGCTCAAGAAATTGAATGTTTTTTATTTGGTTTAAAATGTCTTGTCCATTTGAGAATGTGGACAGATTATAAGAGGAATTTTTAATATATGCATTAAAAACATATTATGCATTAAAATAATTATTAAATTTCATTATATTGTCCCATCGATCAAAGAAGTACAATGGAAACCTAAACTCAATTGGTGACAACTTTAAGAGAACTTTTGCATGGGATTGTGTGTCTAATACTTTTTTGATCGATGTATTGTGCAGTGTAAAGCATGTGTTATGTCTACCATTTTTTACTAACATTAAATTATTTTATTGATAATTAAATATTTTTTGATCGACTTCACAAAGGAGTTACTCAATTCGGCTTTATTTATTTATTTTATTATTAATTAATTAATTTTAACTAATTTTGAAGTCGGTGTACATTTGTTAATGTATCGTCGCCTTAGCACTTATTTCCACCATATTTGTTGTACTTTACAGTAGAGAGTTCTTTTTCGTCTATTTTATTCAGCTTTTTTTAAAGTAAAATATGTATTCTAGAACAATAAAATTAACGTTTAAAAGTCAATAATTCTGTTTAAAAAAAATCTTTTTCGGTAAATTGGTATTTGGACAAATAAGCAATGAGACTATATGATTTTACCATTTATTTAATGAAACTGAAATTACCAATCCATATAATTAGTTATTAGATTCAAATTGTGTAAATGAATTATTTACTTATTTTTGTAAATAAAACTATCTTTTCCGGGGTTTTTTTCGCGGATTTGTTTAGCAGTCATGGCCACGAGACTATAATGCTGTAAAACATTAAAAGTCAGGAACCAAAAATCAAAATATATCCGCGAAAAAATCGGAAAAGATAGATTTATTTAAAATGTGAAATATTCGCGTAAATTTCAGAAAGTATTAATTATTATTGTTTTAATATTCTCAGTTTTAATGAATGGGAGTGCGAAAAATGGCGTAGACGATAAGGCGGAAGGGTGGGTGGTGTCGTCAGAGTCTTGCGGCTTTCTTTCTATTGGTAAGTTCAAGAGATTGAAACAAAATTTAAACAAACATTGCTTATCTATCGCTTATAAAAGGAAGGTGTTTAATTTGAAATATTTCTAATATATAAATTTATTATATATCAGAAATATTTCAAATTAAACACCTTCACACCACACATTTATAAATTGATCAATGGATATTACACAACACGACAACAAACACAGTGAATATTATAGTTTTTTCTGTTACAAAAGGAATAATAATATAAAAAATAGAAAAAAGATAAAAAATAGAAAGAAAAAATAATATAAATAAAATAAAAAAATAAAATATAACTCTCATCAATCAATAAAACTAATTCAACATAGACTTGTTTTAGTCTTGGATTTATAATTACAAATATTTTGTACATTGGTAGATTATAACTTAGAGAACATATTATAGCCAACTGTAAGTATTAAAATTTGCTAGAAAGTCTGTATATAATATTAAAATTACAAAAGGCATCTAGGGACGAACTCCAGCTAAATAAGTTGGTAGTTGTAAATGTATTCAGTCCTTTTAAACGTCCCACTGCTGGGCACGTGCCTCCCTTTAATGCAAAGAGATCAGGCCATAGTCCACCACGCTGCCCAAGTGCGGGTTGGCGGACATACAGGTTTTCCCACGATATTTTCCTTCACCGTAAAACAAGTGGTAATCATATTGGAAATGATTTGGAAATGAAAATATCAGAATTGCTAGACCCTGGATTTATACCCGAAACCCTTGGATTTTAAAGCGAGCTCGTTACCGCTGCCAACTAGTATTTTTTATTTAAATTTAATAATTTAAATAAGGTTTTTTATTTGTTCGCAGGCGCACGTTATGTACGAGAGGTGTTGCCAGGAGAGATAATAGAAATGTCACGGCACGGCATCCGCACCGTGGATGTGGTGGAGCGTCCCGCCTCCAAACACCAGGCCTTCTGCATCTTTGAATATGTTTATTTTGCGAGGGCCGACAGTATTTTTGAGGGTAAACACTTTTACTGACTTATGTGGTCTTGGTACTTGGTGAATGTGGTGGTAGGAAGGTATTACAGCGTTCCGTGCCAGAGTCCAGTTGGCACTCTTAAACTAAGTGTCTTTCCGTCCGTTTGTCTATTCAGCCCTTTTAGACTTAACATCTCTTTCAAAAACTTGCTAGGTTCTCTCAGACATGCAGATTTCCTTACGATGTTTATTTACTTTACTTCACCGCATGACAAGTGGTAATCATAATATCTTCTTGCATTTATACCATTATTTGACATTTTAAATAAAACTATTTTTAGAGACTCGAGGGACTACTCTCCCGTGACCATGATTGCTGTAAAGCTTTCGAAAGGGCGGGAACTAAAAATCAAAATAAATCTGCGAAAAAATCCGAAATTATAGTTTCTTTAAACTAGTAATCTTGTTGGATTATGATTCGCACATGAAAATATCACATGTGCGAGATCCGGCATTTGAACCTACTTCACTCGGTTTCCCAAGCGAGCGCGTTACCACTGGCCTACCAGTGCCTCACTGAGAAATAAAAGTTTTTAACTAAATGTATATGAAATTATTATATACGGTACTTATAAAAAATAGAATTTTTAAAAATTCTCTTTGTCTGTTTGTTCCGTCCAATCTCTGAAACAGTGTGACTGATTTAGTCGAGATTTTCACTGGCAGATAGCTGATGTTATAAGGAGTAATTTAGGCTAGTTTAATTTTAGGAAATTTCAGATAAAGAATTAGGTTTCAGCTCAAAAAAAAATATAAACGTACGAGCATACGAGCGAAGTTAGGGTAAATTGCTAGTATATAAAGTGTGTATAACCATTTCCCTCGATCCCGTAGGTCAGATGGTGTACTCTGCGCGGCTGCAGTGCGGGCGCATGCTGGCGCGCGAGTCGCCCGTGGACGCCGACATCGTGTCGTCCGTGCCCGAGTCCGGCACGGCGGCGGCGCACGGGTACGCGCGGCAGGTGCGTGCTATTAAGTGATTTTAATCAAAGCACTTTAAAAAAGAAAGTTTATTTATTACAATAATTACAAATTAATTATGGGCAAGTGTCGCCGAACGCGGTTGAAATAGAACTAATTAAGAAAACAAATGGTGGTGTAACCTTATTAATGTAATTGTGCTGACTATGCAGCACCCCTTGCAATTTACCTTATATAAAACAGATATAACAGTGCACGCCGAGTGGACTAGATATATTCTTATTTATTTATTTAAACACTTCATTGCATAGGGAAATGTTTTTTTAATTGTTACGCAACCCTAATACATGGAAACTGCCTCGCGTCGACCACCAACATCGCATTCCGTTCGTATGAACTTTTATTGTTAAAGACTTTATTTCGCAACCATAATGCATGGGAACCACCTCGCGAGTCGCGTCGACCACCAATTCTTTTCGTATTTCAACATAACTCTCGCGAAGTGACAGTGTTGTAACATCCGAGTGCACCTTATTGTTAGAGACTTTCTTGATTCATTCCATTTGTCATACTTCGACAGTGTAATCACCTTAGGATAATTAGTTTGTAAAAGTAGTATTAAAGTATTTTATAAGTAAAGTTTTCATTTCATTTGCATCCTCTGACTGTGACTTCTATAATTTAATGTATATTATATATACAAAAAAAGAAATACAATTTATATAAATAAATATGTCGGGACATTAACACCAGCACCATCTGGTTCCATGGTAAGCTACGAGGCCTGGCCGAGCTACACTACAATATATATATATATATATAAATATATATATATATATATATAAATATATATATATATATAAATATATATATATATATATATATATATATATATATATATATATACATATTATTATAAATATAAACACCAATATCGAACCTGCGGCCGCTGGAACAAGTAGTCTCACTACAAACTGAGTCAAAATAATAATAATAAAATAAAATATTTGTCCCTACAGTCAGGCATACCGTTCATGGAGGTCCTCTGTAAGAACAGATACGTGGGACGCACCTTCATCCAGCCGTCCACGCGCCTGCGCCAGCTCGGCGTCGCCAAGAAGTTCGGAGCGCTCTCCGAGAACGTGGTCGGGAAACGCATCGTACTCATAGACGACTCTATTGTACGAGGAAACACTATTGGACCCATCATCAAGCTTTTAAGAGACGCGGGCGCGGCTGAGGTTAGTTGACTTGGTTATGGGTGTTTTAAATAAAACTATTTTTTTGGATTTTTTTCGTGAATTTATTTTGATTTTATTACAGAATTATTACAGGTTATTGGTTATTATTACAGGTTATTGTTGTGTGCTGTTTGTAACAACTATATAATGCTTTTGAGACATCTTAAACCTTAGTCTCTCCCGTGACCATGTGCGCTGTAAAGCATTCGAAACGTCGGGAACCAAAAATCAAAATAAATTCGCGAAAAAATTCCGGAAAGATAGTTTTATTTAAAATGTCAAATACTCGCGTAAATCTAAGAAAGTATTATTGATTATGGGTGCTTAAAAAAATGGTACTTGGAACTTAGACGGGACCATTCCTATAAAAAGCAGGTAGCCCAGTGGTAACGCGCTCGCTTCGGAAGTCAATGCAGTCTCGCACGTCTGATATTTTCATGTTTGCCACTTGTCTTATGGCGAAGGAAAACATCGTGAGGAAACCTGCATGTCTGTCTTTAACAAGTTCTAGAAAGACATGTAAAAGTCCGCCCCGTTTTTGGCCAGTGTGGTGGACTATGGCCATATTCTTATTGTACTAAAGGGAAGATGTACCCAGTAGTGGAAAATTAAAAAAAAGTTAAATACATTACTTAGCTTACACTGTCTGATTCAATATATCTTTTATGGATTGTATCTATTAAAATTTATCAAATTATTTTTAATGGCAACACATTTTTTATAAAATTCAGCACTGCCTTGAAATAATTGATTTATCTCGTTGATGTATTGAATAAGATCGAATAAAAAAAATATTGAGCAACTTAGTATATTATACCAACAAAAATCCCTTATAAATCTATCAAAATTATCACAAAGTTCCACGGCCGTCTCACTAAACAAATGTGTAATTTATAAAATATTTTAATTTAATTAATTATAAATTATATTATTATTAATTTTCCAGGTTCACATCAGGATAGCGTCTCCGCCTCTCAAATATCCATGTTATATGGGTATCAACATCCCTACCAGGGAGGAACTCATCGCCAACAAGATGGACTCTTTTAAGCTAGCTGAGCATGTTGGTGAGTAAGAACATCCTAACATTGAGGTTTAAGATTCATTTATTTCTCAAAAGAATACAATTCACTTACTGATAAACATTAGCTTTACGTAGGTAACATTTCAAACGGGCAGCTATTATTTATATAAAAAATGAAATATATTTTGCGGGTAAAACAAACTATTTTCTGGATTAAAACTCGTAATAAGAATACTGGAAGTGGCTTTAAGTATAAAATTTTACTGTCATATATTATATGTTGTTACACTACCCATGAATGCAATATTTTGGTCACATGTTGACATTTTAAGACTACTTTTTAACCTCCGACGCAAAAACTACGGGATGTTATAAGTTTGACGTGTCTGTCTGTGTGTGGCATCGTAGCTCCCGAACGGATGAAGCGATTTTCATTTTGTTTTTTGTTTGAAAGGTGAATTAGTCAGGACAAACATTAACTTATATTTATATTACATACATACATTTTGTATTTTTTTTGTTTTTGGGTGTACAATAAAGGGTTTAGTACTAACTACTACTTAAAATTAATTTGAGTACGTATTATATAGCTATTTAAAAATGAAGCTAAAAGAGTATTAAAACTTTTTAACAGGTTCAGACAGTCTCGAATATCTAAGCGTGGAAGGTCTAGTGAGCGCAGTGCACTACAACATGAAGGTTGCGCCCAGCGACGGCGTGGGCGGGCACTGCACCGCCTGCCTCACCGGCGACTACCCCGGCGGCCTGCCCGAAGACGTCGACTGGTGAACCTTAGCCACTAACGAATAAGGTTCTTTTTCCTTTGACCACCACCCGGCCCATCACCCGGGACACGTCGATAAAAACGACCTTACTCATACGGAATAAAGTTCATTTTCCTATACAGATATTCTATATCAATATGGCCTTCTTAAATGCCTTAAATCGAATGTTTGTACTTTATAATGAATAGTGATAATTGGACTCGAATTTTATTCATACAACTCATTTTTCCCCTATGGGGTTTACATCTTTTTTTATTTTAAATCCCTTTTCAAATTTGCTTTTCAAAAGGTGATAATTAAGCTCGGAATTTTATTAGAACTATTTTTTCAGCTAAGGAGTTTATATTTTTCCTTTTTCGATTTATTCCTTGTCAATTTTATCTGACGACTAAAATTGACTCTATTACACTGTAATAAGGTGCATTGTTCTATACACGTCTTATAATCTATATTAAAAAGTGATTTTTATGCTCGAATTTTATTATATGTGTATTTATTTTAAATTTGGAACCTCGTTACATAAATTGTATATGTACCTAAGGAATATTCCCTCCAAATTTGAAGTTCCTACTTCCTATATTTAGGCTGTGTCAATACATTAAATCAAAGTGCTCTTTCATATGAATATACATATATATATGTATATATTTTAAAAGAAAAAAATAAATAAAATGTTTAAATATTATGATCGTTGAAATAATCTACGATTTATTTTTACTTATTTTATAATTTCATTAGAGAAAAAGCAAATTCATTGCTTTTAATTTTCAGTACAACTCTCTTTGCTATTATCATGTGTCAACGTTTTAAGAAGTCGCATTTTTAACAAAACGAATCGTTATTTATAGTTGGGTTTAATATTTGCTTTATCTGTTATATAATGAGCAAATATCGCAAAAACTAGATAAAAATTGACCTTATGTCGATCTTCAGAATCCTCACTATAGTCCATTCGCGTTAAGAAAATAGTGAGTCATCGAGTGCAACGGCAGGTAAAGGTGTATTCACAGTGGAGTAAAAATTCTATTCAAATATATTTCAAAAGATTAAGTTTATTGGATAAAATAAAAATTTTGGAAAAAATTGGAAAATTTGGAAATTATTGGAAAAAATAAAAAAATTTATTATCTCAAATCTTGATTTGAGATGATAATGACTTTATTTTGATTTGAGATGATAATGACTTTATTTTGATTTGAGATAATTAATTAACTTAATTATCTCAAATCAAAATAAAGTTATTAATAATATATTTGAGTCTGCCTTCAACTGGTTATTATGAACTGGACTTTATAATTTTATGCGACCTAATTGGTCGGGGGGCGTGGCTAAGCCGATGGACAACGATGACTCACTATTTTCTTAACGCGAATGAAATAATAAGTATATTGCGAGATGTATCAAATTATACTTTTATCAATGCTCTAAATTGTATTTTTTTTTTGTATAAATACATTTTACAATCTGGGAATGCAAGATGCAAGATTATCAATTTGATGTGTTGTATTTTATATATAATAATAATTTTGTTTAATTTTCTTAATATAAAGAAGTAAACTAAAAAAGAACAATATAAACAATTTTAACTAAATAAAGAACTTTTACTTTCCATTGATATTATATGGCTAGTTTAAAATAAACATTGTATTTTTTAACTTTCGAGCCATTTATCCAAATGCTATCGGTTTAATAAATATAAAATGTTTATATTAAAAAAAAAATTAACGATTTATATCCCACAAAAAAAATTACGTAGGTATCCATACAGTACCCCCTACCTTATACTTGTAAGTAATCTTCCTAGTCTTAGATTCGAAGTAAGATCATTACTCATCCTTTTGCTTACCAGATGTGGTATATATAAAAAATATATAGCGAATTTTCTTTAATTAGAAAGAATATATTTATTTTAATATTTTCCCCACTAACTAAATAAATTTGATATTATTGAAAATACATGAACGTTAAGTATTCCGGATATTTTATTACCAAAATTATCTTAATTATTAGCATAAATACGTCTTAGAGGTTAGAGAACGAACATATCTTATTGTATTTTAGATCGCCTATGATATTAAGCAAAAAATTGAAAAAATAAGAACAAATAATTAGGGACCAAATGCATTTTATATTTTTATCTCTATAGAATAATTCTAACTGAAATATATTATATTTTATAATAAATTAGTTGTAACTCAATTTTTATATGTAGGACCTTTACATAAGGTTGTATTTTAGATGTTTTAGTTATGAGTCGTGCTGGTTTCGACTCGCATATTGTAATTTTTTTAATTAACAAAATCCCTTTAAGAAATATCTTAGTCTGGGATAAGCTATTTACTTTATTTTTGCCAATCTATAATTTTATTGTACGTTTATTAAATTATAAGCTCGAATAATTAATCATACAATATATATTATTATGTGAAGTGTGATCAGTCCATATTAAAGTTTGAGTTTTGATTTGATTACTAAAATATATAAGTTCTTTGACCGTCCTCTTAAATTCGAATTCATGTTTTTATTCTAGATGCTTTTACAAGCATTATTGAATCAATTTTCTTTATTTGTAATACATATGTTACAATAATGTCGAGGAGACGGTGAAAGATAATTTTATAGATTTATTATATTTTAAATGACAGTGTTTTTATACACATATAGATTGTTGTTTGGCGCACAGAATAAATATAAAGAGGAGATGTAATAAGTTTTTACTCAACAAAATGGCGAATCCAATTTGGATTCTATGTAAGTACATAAATGATGAAGAGCTGTATGTCAAAATCAGAGTGTACAAACAGACATCTCCTTTTTGTATGTATATACTTTGTAGTGTAGCGTCATTTTGTTGTGTCTTATATTAGAATATGATCTGATGTCCTCAAGAATTACAATGTAGAGTATTTTCTATGTACATTCCCATGATTTATTTTGATTTTTTTAAATAAATACGCTTAAGGGATCTCTTTGTATTGTAATTTCTTCCTATTTACCGATCAAAATATTAAGGATATAGTAATATATCCTTAATATTTTGATCTTTTATAATAAGTAAGCACAGATGACAGTATGAAAAAATAGCAGCCCTAATAAAGACCTCAATTTTTAGGTTATTTTAATTTCCTTAAATAGGCGATAGATGGCGTTGACCCGCAAACTGTTGAATTGATTAATATTATATATACAAATGTTAAAAGCTAAATCCTTTTGCATTAAATAGAAAAAACCAGCGTCTATACTAGATAATCGTGTATAATAAACAACTCAGAAAATGACAATGTGTGTAGGGGGATTTATAATTTGACAAACGTGATCGCCTGCTGTATTGATTTTTATACTGTGGTAAAATTATGGGATTTTAAATAAAGAACAGAAGAAAACATAACGCCATCTTTTAAATTATTTTTTGTAAGAAATGGCAAATCTATCTTTATCTTTTCTATTGTGGTAGAAAGGTATACAATAAATTCACTTATCTTAATGCTGATCTGTGTTTTAAAACAGCCTGTAGGTACAAATTATATTATCGGTTGATTGTGTATATAGCAGACATTCATATAAAAGCTGAATAAATCTGCTATAAGTCTTATAAGTAATATAATAATATACTTAATAATGCGCTCGCAATCGCAAGCAACAGCTAGTATTTTATATACATAAAATAGAAATAAAATCAAAAATACAGACAGAAAAATATGAAACAATCATTCTTGACCAATTTCCAGCAAAGGAGATATAGTGTACGAGTTTGTGCGCAAACAAAAGTCCTATTCCTTTCACTTTCTACATCACCGCCGTTGTAACACCAAGTTCTCAACTCCGATCTATTCTCTAAATCGGGAGTCGGGACCTAAACGCGGTTTTTCAATTGTACATGTTAGACCTATATTACTCTCAGTCAATCATTATGAAGTATCGACATGTCCTAACAGATGTGACAACGGGTCAACAAAAATAAAACTCAAAAAACTTCTCACTGCTTTATAACTAGCAACTTAACTTTAAAATTTCAGTTATTTAATTATAAATCAATATTCAAATATCACATTTGTCCCATATATAGCTATCACTTCACATATTCTGCTTGCCTACTATCGCCTCTATATCCTCTACTTCTTTGACACAGGTGTTTGTAAGTACGAGAGTTTCATTGTCTGTGATCAGGACATCGTCTTCTATCCTGATGCCGACTCCTCGAAACTCTTCTGGCACAGACGTGTCGTCCGGCCGAATGTATATACCTGGAGAACGAAAAAATTGCCATTATTATATTATGTTGGGAGCGTAATGATCCAAGTCTTTTGTCATTGATTGGAATTAGAACATTAAGCATGTTTTGATGAAACCAATTATGAGATGAAGTATCTGCAAGATATCGTGTAACATACATACAAAAAATATTTGTTCGCAATGAACAAAATAAGATTAGGTCTTTTCACACAGATTCATGTTCTCAATGTTTTATAGGTAGTGGCACGTAGTGCGGGTGTTGTGTACAAGAACTAAGAATGTGGATTGTGTTTTGTGATGAATAATTGACGTAGTGAGTGACATTATAATAGAATTAGCGCATTAGAATAGTGTGATTGGTCGATTGTATGGCTCTAGTCTCTATATAATAAACGATAAACCGCCTTATGTTAAATCAATGGAATCGACAATAGGATAACTTACGCATTCAACCATGACGCCCCGGTGGCAGATCACAACAATCACGGGTTCGTTTCAACGGTGTACTCCGCTATCCAGGAAGTAGCAGGAGCATTCAATATTGTATAATTCCTACCTATCAAACATCTTTCTTGGCTGGATTGCCGGATGCTACGAGTCTCTCCGACAACAACAAGAGGAACACTGTATAGATTTTAATATTGTAATAGCATGTAATGTACCGGGCTCGACAGTGAGCACCATGCCGGGCGCGACGGGCACGCGGCGCCGCACGCGCGCGGCGTCGTGCACGTCCAGCCCCAGGTAGTGCGACACGTGGTGCGGGCACAGGCGGTACGCTTTCTGTTACCAGATACAAACCATTATACTCTCTTAGATTTACGCTATTTTTCATATTAAATAAAACTATCATTTCGAATTTTTTCGCAGATTTATTTTGATTTTTGATTCCCGACGTTTCGAATTTTTTACAGCTCCCATGTACGTCACTGGAGGTCAGAAAAAGAATCCTAAAAGTTAGTTTTATTTTATGTTACGACCATTTTAAATAAGTTTGCTAGTGTGTTTGTTACTACATCAATTAAGGGATTAAAAATAATTTCTTTTGGTTTAGGCCCAACTAGGCCCAGTGGTGGTGATGTTGAGATTCAATTCTTTTGTAATTTTCCGTGCAGACAGGACAGCAGCTGCCTATTGCTTCTCCTAGTTAATTAATAAATTTGAATATTTCAATTATAAACATTATTACCAATAAAACACGCCGTCAGTCGTAGACGGCAACAAAATAAAGCACAGGCAATTTAGTAGGTGAAAAAAAGCGAGAACTTACTCCAATAAGTTCGTTAGAGTCTATATTCTTGGGCAGTATGCCCTCCTGCTGCAGGTGGGTGCCCAGCAGCCGGCACATGTGGTCGAACAGCTGATCGAGCGGCGGCCGATGCTCGCCCAGCAGTTCTATTAGACGTTTCTAGAAAAAAAATAGAGCAAAATTATTATAATTTGTTTCACTGTCTGTGTAGTCGTAGTGGCTAGCATGCCGATTATTTTTTTACGTCTGTACTAATTTTGATGAATTTTGGTATAGCGATAAACTGGACATTGGAGAAGTCAACAAAACAAACGAGAACAAAAGGTCAAAAAAAAAACAACAAAAAGCCTATTTAGTTGTTGTTTTTTGAACTTTTGCTGCAAAAATAAAACTTAAAGGGGGTAAAACCTAATGTAAGTTGTATATGGGTCCACAATGGTCCATAATGGTCCCTATTATTTCTCAGCGCCTTAATATCTTTTAAGCATCGGAGGCCTGGAAATATACTTAAGTGTGTGTCACTAGTAGGCATAAAGTTAAAATATAAAATACTGTTGACCTAATGAAAATTAACATGATCTGTATGAACCTTGTATTAAAAAAACATTAAATTGCATTAAAGTTACCTGTACAGAGAGAACCAGCTCGTATAGAATTCGATGGTGCTTGGAGAACTTGCCGGAGACCGGCCATGTGCGGGAGATGTCAGAGTTGTATAACCATCTTTGACAACCTATGTGTATTTAATTTAATTGGATTATTTTAAATTCTAATATATAGGGGTTCGATTAAAGCCGGAGAATGCCACTATATGTATTACTTTTGGATTCGCCTTTTATATGTATTTGAAAATTTTATCTCATTCAGCTCTTTTGAACATAAAATACTGAACGTGTTACTGCTAGGTACGGGTTTCCAGGATGAGGGAATGTAAGCCATAATCCACCACGGTGGCCAAGCCCAAATTGGCGATCTTCACATACCTTTTCAAAACAGGTTAGGTTTATTCAGATATGCGAATTTCCTCACGATGTTTTCCTCTATCGTAAAACGAGTGCTAATTATGTTAGAAATAAAAACATCAGACATGTAAAAGCCGAGATTTGAGACTACTTCACTTGGTTTCTTAAGCGAGCGCATTACCACTAGGCTACCAACGCCTATCAGATTTAACCTGTATTAAAAAAAACAACCACTCCTCACCAGAATCAACGAGGAGCATCTCTCCATCACGCAGCAGTTGGTTGTTGTTCACGTAGTGTATGTGCGTGGCGCGCGCGCCGCCCGCCACCACCGGCGGGAAGGCGGCGTGCTCGGCGCCGTGCGAGCGCGACGAGTACTCCAGGAGAGCGGTTATTGCGTGCTCTGACACTCCTGAGAAGTTTCATTGCATAAAAAGAATGAATGAAATGGAAAAATAAATGAAATGAAAGTATGAATGAAATAAAAGAATGAATGAAATGAAAGCGTGAATGAAATAAGAGAATGAACGAAAGGAAAGTATAAATAAAATGAATGAATGATACTATAATGGAAGTAAGCTCAATAGGCAATAACATGCCTTTACATAGGCTTACTTACATGCTCTGCCCAATACTAAGGAGGAGAGTTCCATCACTTTCTAGGTACTTGTATGGATAAGCACTTACTAAGTAAGGAAAAAGTCATGCAGGTAAAAATATTTTAATGATGAATCTAAATGTTTAAACATAAATCCATTATTCATAAAAAACATCAAATTCGGTTCACAATTAAAGGAAATGCTAAAATTGAATATTTAACATTTTTTTAAATCAAATTATCAAATAAACTTTGATGAGCACTTTTCAGCTTCAATCATTTAATGTTTCTAAAATGTTTAATACCTTAATTTAATTTATTAATTACGTTTATTTTTCATTTAATAATATTAAACTTACTAAAAAGCACTAAATAACTATACAAAGGTATAGCACAGAATTACGTACCCACCAGGTTTCGTACATGCCATTGCCAAATTGACTGACTGGGATCCAATATAACAGGTCTCTTTCATAAGTTCCACTTCTGCAGGTGATTTGACTACTCGCATCTGGTGTAAGGCTTTCTGAGGGTCGTCTACAGAAACATGACTCTGACGCATTGAGGTGCACACAGTTTCGTGGATGTCAGGGTTAGCTGCTGTTTCATTATGGTACCAGAGAACTGCCGGTTTTGATGATGATATTAGCCTGTAAATTATTCACGAAATATGATTGTTTAGTCATTTTAATATCTGTGTATTATTAAAAAAAATATTTGTCTTATCCTTAGTTATAAAAAAAATATTTAGTGAGATGCTAGATGATTGCTATTTTATTCTTTAATCCAAGCTTATCATTTAAATCTAAATTAAGAGAAAACCAAGTTTTATTTAATTTCAATAATATTCTATTACAAAATGTACAAATTGCTGTTATTTCTTTATAAAGTAATAAGATATAAATCTAAAAAACACATACCGAATTAAAAAATGACTAAAACTCTCAACTGGTCTTGCTTCATCAACAGCGAATAATGTTGGTGCCATGGTACAACCTGTTCTAGGCCCTTCCCACAACTCTGCATGACTATCCTTCTCATGCACAAAAAGAATAGTCTGGAAATCAAGTTTTGATTTTAGATAGTTTTTAAAGTAATTATTATTTATTTAAAAGTATAGGGCTTATACTTACTGTGTAATTATTCGATAGGGCTTGTTTTACCATGACGAGGATAGCAGATGGTTCCATACATCCTGTTAGATAAAAAAAATCTGAATTCTGTCTGAAGACATAAGGAATTTTATCTGACATATATTGTTTACGAGCTGCTGGTATTATTATCTGGAAAAACATTGATTATTTTAATGATTAAGAACTAAACATAGTAATAAAAACATCCATAAGATATCTTATTGTCGTAAATTGGAACGAACTTACAATATGTGATTTGTTAGCATGATCTGGTTCAGTCAATAATTTGTTGACTAAATTGTCCCTTCTATCTTTATACTCTTGTTGTGTGATACCACAAGTGAGATGACCGTTTGGTATCAAGTGAGGATGAGTGTAACATGTCGGTTGTCCAACTATCCCTTTAGGGATTCCAAATTGTGGATTGCTTTCTATATCAGGTGGATTTCCAATACTTGACGAAAATCTTAGTCCACCTTTACTTATTATCTGCCTAAATAACTTTCTTGAAAACTTCGATCCTGTGAATAAAATAGTTTATAAACATTTAGGTAACACAGGGCAAAGTTTATGTTTTGATATAACCTTAAACTTACCAAAATTTGAGGATAGGTGACGTAACGAATGCATTTTCAACAAATATATAAGATATTTTTATAAATGTAATCTAACTATTTATTTATTTTATTGTTATTAAGCAGAAAAAATTTAATAAGAAATAAAACACTTTTGTGTTGACACTTTTAACATAAATTTAATAATATTCAAAACTGACATTGACACTTGACGGTAGGTAGAACGCACAGATGGTAGAGTTTATTTGAAGTTAGACCACAGGGAGTGTTCTTGAACTTTAGAGTGTGCCAAAATATTTGAATTTGGAATGTCTTGTTACGATACGGAGTATGATCAGGCATTATATTTTCTAGGGTTGTCACAAATTTTGTGTTAAAAACTTAAAGTCCCCGAAAAAAGGACATTGCTTGGTAACTTTTTGGCGAAGATTAAATACACTTAGTGTCTGTCTATAAATTTCAACAGACATTGTAGAGTTACTACATATGTGGCAATTAGTAGTAATTATTTATTACTATATATATATATATATATATATATATATATATATATATATATATATATATATATATATATATATATATATATATATATATATATATATATATATATATATATATATATATATATATATATATATATATATATCATTTAGTAGCATTTTTTCAGGGAAATTTATATCGAACTTATTTAATATAAAACTGTTGATTAATGTTAAATAATCAGCAAGGTAAGCTAATGTACACTCGCTTGACAGCACGAATTACGTAAATATGACTCTAAATGACTTCTGGCTGGCGCAGGCGTTGGTGCTCTGAGTCTCTGACACTATATGGGTCTTTTCTTTGTTGAAAATACGATTGGCAATATTTTCTTTAATAAAAAGTAAATACATATTAATTAATTGGTGTAATTTTCATGCGGTATAAAATGTTACAGATTTAATTTCAGTCTGATGACTACTGCACTACCTCAATTGCTGGGTGGAAGCATGAAATTTTGGACAATAGTTCCTTATCTAAGAACGGTAAAGAAAGATTTTTAAATTCTACCTATATATGTGGATTAAATAACAGTCTAAAGTTTGTATGACAGTTTGTCATTTTTGAATTTGGAAATAATATGAAAATAATATTTAAGCTACTGTCCATACTGTTCGTGGGAAAGTTGTTATTAGCGTCTGAAATTTCAGCCGAACGTGAAGCGAAGGAACGCACTTGGGAGGTGTAAAATTTGGGTTACTTCTAACTTTGTAATTCTCTGGCAGCAGATTAGATTGTGGGGGCAACCCCTTTACCCTTAATTCTTATCGTCTCCCTGAGCAGGCCAATCGTTGAGGCGTCGTGGTTGTGCCATGTGCTTAAGTGATCTTGCCACACCGTATTAAGACGGGGGTAAAAAAAACGGCCAAGTGCGTGTTGGACTCGCGCACGATGGGTTCCGTACCATTATCTATAAAAACGGCAAAAAATCACGTTTGTCGTATGGGTTTGTTTTATTTAAATTTTAATTATTTATTTTTAAAGGGAATATATAACTAAACATTCTGTGAATATTTCAAGCATCTACCTGTTGCCGTTATCAATATAGAGCAAAATCACGTTCAAAAAATCACGTTTGTTGTATGGGAGCCCCTTAAATACTTTATTTTATTCTGTTTTTTAGTATTTGTTACAAAAATACATCATCTGTGAAAATTTCAACAGTCTATCTATCACGGTTCATGAGATACAGCCTGGTGATAGGCGGACAGACAGACAGACAGACAGATGGACTGCGGAGTCTTCGTAATAGGGGCCCGTTTTACCGTTTGGGTACGGAACCCTAAACACCATATTTAGTTCATTTAAAGGGACACTTTATAATAGGTATATCATATCCCCACTCGCTATAATATCAAGCTTCGAATGCGATTCTTCGTACGCGATTGAAAAATAAGAGGAAGTCCTAAAAAGCATTTTGATTGAATCAAACATCATTAACACCAACATCATCAAAGAAAGCTCCAAAAATTAACGACAAAAATAGAGGTATAACTTGTTAAAATATTTTTAGACAATCTAGAAAAACATAGGTGCTCGACTCGCACACTGAGACCTGCAAACTTCTAAATATAGAACTTATTTTGTTTTACTTATGTAATTTGTTAGGTTATGACTAAAATAAAATATTTACGTAATACATAATACTCATTTTAAAAACCATAAAAATAAGTTTGTATTTTATGGATCTTTTAAAATACAATATATAGAAAAAGGTTAATTTTGCAGTTGCTGAACTTATACAGCGTGGAAAATGTAATGACCGTAAGATATATGATCTTCTTCAAATATTTTTTCTTCATAGTATTTCGAATGCTCTAGTACCTTTTTTTTCAGAATTTCTAACTTCTTAGTGTGGACTCTCCTCTACCATCCGTATTTTTATATCCGTCCCATACAAAACTATAGTCTTCGAGTAAAGTGGATGTGATAAACGGACAGACGGACATGGTTTTTAATTTTCCTACATTCCCTTTTTTATAATATTTATAAGAATTAGCGATCGTACGTATGACGAAAGTTCGTGACACTTTCATATATCTTTTCATTTTTTTCTATTCTGTTATAAATTGTAAGCTATCAATAAAATATGTTATAATATTATAATGTCCTAGATACACATTCACACAAGTGTGAATAGGTACTTGTGGTCATTGCATATTCAGCGTTTCTAGTTTTAAAATTAAACAACACTATAACGCCACATGTACATTTATTACGTATTTATGGCATCTATTAATATAAATATATTTTTCAAAGCATTATCAAGAGCAAATAAGTAGCTCTACATTAAAAATTTTGGTAATAATTCGAGCGCGTTGAAATCTAATACTTGAAAAAGGCAAGATATATGAAAGGTCCTTTGGTCGCTCTAATCGAAACTATGTAACTGGGAACTGATAATTAATTTTTTTTCTTATATTTACTATTTATGTTACTAAAAGTTAGTAAACTTTAAAATTTATTCTTATTTAAGGAAAAATATATTCCAACTAAGCTTGTAGGTAGGAAGGTCATACGTTCACCATTGGCTATGCGCTGGCAGTCAGTGCGGAACGGCCTGCGCGAGCGCATGTCTCTCAACGCGCCGCCTCGATCGCGAACTGTGTCGAACGTGCCGTTACAATAGTGTTTCATAATCTGTGATTGTTTACTTTTTTAATTTTCACACTATATTTGGACGGAGCTCACACAGCCAACGACTCTTAAAGAGGTTTGTCAAATATTTCCCAATATTTATTTATCAATGCAACATACATTTATCGATAGATGGACTATACCGCGGTCTTATTTGCATCGTTTTGTAGGCTATTCATTAGTTGTTACGCTCGCTTGCGTGGTCAGTATTACCTAATAGATGACCTCGCGAAATTAATGTAAGGTCTGTAACGAAGGTTCTTTTTGGGTTCAAAAATAAAAGTCAACTAACCGTGACCGCTTCCGCGAGATGTTTCGCAGTGAGCTGAAGATGAGCTCATTTTTACGTAATAAATAACATATTTTTCTATTATAATTTATAACTTATTTAAATTATTATATGCACTAGAATCGCAGACAATTAAAATATTACCAACAATAGGAATTTTTACTATTTTAGCATCGATGAAAACTACAAACATGATTTATTTTTTAATTACTGTGTTACTGATATTAACATTGAACAACTTTAGTTTCTAAGTGGCAATTCTAGTTTTTAACTTAACTTGTATTTAAAATTAGCATCAGGCCAATAATATGTAGAGACTATTCTATTAATTAATTAATAGGTATATATTCCTATTATGCCTACTTATGCAATACAGTTTATGTTTCAATCGATTAATATTATCGATACCACTAATTCTAAAGTATAAGTTGATAAATTAGAACAGTTTATTTTTTTTAAGTTTCTCTATAAATAATGTTTTATTATAAATCATCTCAGTCTTATAATTGCTCTGTGTCAATTAAATATTCAATGATGAGTAAAAAAGTTGTTCACGCTTCTTTTTAAAATACCTCCATTAAGAAAAAAAACTACATAAAAACTCTTTCATATTTACATTATTTATATTATATAACGATGAATTGATAGAAATAGATATGCATATCTAATAATAGACGTTTTTATATTCCAATAAAAACTTTACTGCCTCCTGTTTTCGCACTGACTTACTACTACAGAGATAAGGATCGGCAAAATCATTTATTATGTTACACAAGTCAATTATGTATATTATTTTAAATCAATTACTTCGTCGCGATGTTTTGATGACTCAATAAATTTTTTGTTTGTGGAAAAATTAAATTTTATTAACTAACTAGCGACTCACTCGTCTCTAGTTACGTTTTAACGTTTAGTATAGATTTCTCAGAGATGAGATATTTTCCCGCTGTAAAAAGTATCCTATATATTAACCTGGATAGTCAGCTATCATCATACCAAATTTCTTCAAAATTTGTCCAGTGGTTTTCTCGTAATGCATTCCCAGTCAGACAGAGAGACAGACAAAAATTCTTAAAACTGTAGTTTAGGCCTCTCTTTCGATAATAATGACTATTTCAGTAAGATTTAAAAAAAATAATGTACAGATTCGACTCAGAATTTTATTAACTATATGTATAGATTGGTTTAAAGAGTATCAACATTCTAAATGAAGATTTTATATATGGTAAAAATTTCAAAATTTCAAGTACATACCTAAATAGTGGATACATATTTTCACGTCATATCCCTGGCAGCATAGTTAAAAAGAACAGAGTACAAGTGCTACATATCTCTAACGTTGTTGTCGTAATTTCTTCAAACAAGTTCTCATATGATAACTTCTATAATATATAATTTACAGATTACATTTCTAACCTATATGGCGAATATTGTCTGACGTAGAGTCGTTAGAAATGTAGTTTCTCATAATCAAAGGCTTTCTTATACATGTAAATTGGGTCGTAAATATTATAAATTCTTACTAGTCTCTACCTCTAATTTTATATCCGATGAGCATATATTTCATATTATTCTACTCGGTTGAT